AAAAAGAATGACATATTCATGTATTAAGTAACAATTTAACTTTAAAATGTCTATTTTATCCTTAATGAAATTATTTATAGTCACACAAATATCTATCAGTTATTTTAGACCAGATAATTTCGAAAGTCTTTCTTTCTTAAACTATGTGTGAAATCAAACTAATTCATATAAAATGGAACGGAAGGAGTATTGTAATTTATTTGGAGGGTAGAGGGGAATGATGTGGTAGGCCACTAAGAGGTTAGAGATTTGGAAGTCAAAGCTTAACTCGGATGCACGTCTTGTTATTAAATATAACTAATACTAGTTCTGACCTATGAAAAAGCACTAAGGTGTGTTTAACTTGTATCAGTAGCTAATACTTGAAAAGAAAAAGGAAATACGTGTGAGTTCAATTTGAAAAATACCACTTGAACCTTGGAGTCAATGGGTAGGATTTCGTGCTTGCACAGATTTAATATATGTTATTTTGTTGTTTCAATTGATGTGATATATTTGTAATTTGGAGAGTTTATTAAATTTTAATATAATTTTTAGATATTTTAAGTTGTTAATTAATTACTCTGAATTTATCATATTTTTTACATAATTTTAAAAAAATAATGTATGTTACGTTATTCCCTCAGTGCCAAGTTATGTAGTGCCAACATAATTTTGAATGTCAGTTAAATTTTTTTATGTGTTTTAAATTTTTAAGTTAGTTAATTATTGTGATTTATATTAATTTTTTACGTCATTTTTGGTAATGTATGTTACTTCCTCTAACCCAATTTATGCGGTAATCACGAAATTTTGAGAGTCTGCTAGATGTTTTAATCTATATGTATTTTTAAATATTTTAGTTGTTATTTTATTATGATTTATAGTATTGTTTACATAATTTTCAAATAATATATGTTTCTCTTTTTGTTGTAATTTACGTGGCACATATAGAATTTGAAGAGTCAACCAATTTTTTAATATGTTTTTAAACATTTCAAATTGTGGAATTTACACTACTTTTTATGTTGTTTCTAAATAATATATGTTACTTTCTCTATCCTATTAACTATATGTGACACCGGTAGAATTTAAAATCAATCAATTTTTTTTATGTCTTTAAAACATTTTAGTTGTTATTTATCGTAATTTATAATACCTTTTCCACAATTTTTGAATACATAGAGAACTAAACAATAAGGCAAGCAAATTAGAACAAGAAACCACTAAAAAATTATCATACTGCCCTTGAAGTGCCAAAACATGCATGTTGACATGTTGCCTACTTGGTTTAGACGAAGTAGATAGATCAAATGAATGAAATCCAGGTGGCTCTTATGCCACTTTTGATGATCTCGATTCGGACGAAATAGATAAAAAAAAATATTAGATCGATGGCCGGGGTAAGTACTTAGAACTCCCTCTTATTATATAAGAGAATATATTTATCTATCTATCTACACTATATTAAAACTTAAAAGCATGAAGCCCTTAGAAATGTTGTTTGAATTTTTTGTCCAATATTTAAAGATCCCGTTTTAGACAAAAAAAAATAATCATTTTTTTCATTATTTCTTTAAATATTCTATCATTAAATTAATAATACTAAATATTGACTATAATAAATATAATAAAAATTAAATGGCGAAGATCTTCTTATTATTGTTAAATTCCTGCTTAGAGAATCTTTTTCCAACTAAACTAGACTTGATCCCCCCCCCCCCAAAAAAAGTCAAAAAACATCTAAAATTATAGGCAAAAAAGTTTCAAAAATCATCCCAAAAATTAGTCAAAAATAGTACAAATAAATAGAAAAATGTAATTAAAAAAATGTCAAAAAAAGTTCAAAGATAGGCAAACTGAGAATATCGCTATATTCCTTTTAAATGGTCCCTAAATGCTAAAAGATAGGGTGGATCGTGGTGATGTTTTACGTATTGTTCCCCAGATCACTACGGAGGGACCCCGTAAATGTTTTAGAAAAAGAGTGCTTTGAAACTTCACCAGAGTTTTACTTCTTCAAGATACATATTTGATGAAAGTTACGAGTGAATGTGTTACTTCTTAGGAAAAGGAATTAAGACCTTCAATATAAGAAAATCACTACTAAGAATATAGGAACTAGCAACAGACAGCTAAATAACAAAGTCCGTCGAACGTTGGTAAACCTATTTAACGACGGATTAGAAATGGATTATCACAAAGTTCTGTTAGCTATAGGGGTGGGCATGATATGGTATGATATACAGGGACGACTCTTACTTATAAAAATTAAGGCACATGCCTTAGGCTCCCAATTTGGGAGGCCTCAAATTTTTATCAAGAACAAATTATGTGTTATTTTTTTATAAAAAAGTTAATCATTTATAATAAAGTATATATATATATATATATATAATTTATTCTCCTTAACCCCACTCAAATAGAAGAAATCAAGAGAACGTTGTTTTGTCTTATTACATTTCTTTGTTAACATTCACAATATTTATTTATTTTAAAACTCTTTTTGCGCTCTTTTTCTTCAAATCTTTCATAAGTTAAAGTATACTCTATCAAAAATCTGAGTCATTAATCGAACAATGTTGAACAAAGTGAATCACAATTTTTTTTTAAACTTAATTTTCAATCAAAGTAAGGTATATCATCAAGTTATCAACATCTTGAGTCAAATTCTATGGTTCTAACTCTTATTTTTGTTTAAAGTTTGTCAACTTATTACTCATAGAAGTATGTTAACAATTCGTATAAAGATTACTTTCGTAAAAGGATATTTTTCAGCATTGAATTGATAAAATCTTACCTAAAATTAAAAAATAAAATAAAAAAAGTACTCAAAAAAAATCATGTTTAAAAAAGTTGAAGTAATAATTTGCATCTAAACAATTAGAAAAATAAATTTTAAATAAATATGTATGAAATTTTTTAGGCCTCAATTAAAATTTTGCTTTAGGCCCCCAATTACGTTGAGCCGCCACTGAATTGATATAGTATTTTAAAGTTTCGATATCGTAATTTTGGTATTCGATTTTTAAAATATTATACCATTACCATATCAATTTAATTCGATATGGTTCGATATTTTGAAGCTCGGTTTCAGTATTCTACGGTATGGTATAAATCGGTTACCATAGTTTGTTCAACTTCTACTAATATATGCTCGGATAATAGAGTATTATGACTTTGACAATTAAAAAAATGTCTCAATTTTATCATACTAACACATTTGACATTACACGTGTAGAAATATATATATTCAAAATAAAGTACAAACAACTCATTTTGTAAATCAATTAAATTTCAATCAAAATAGAGTAGTCAAAGTTTCAACTCCTAAACATTTAGTTTATACTACTACTAGGTTGTATATTTGATAGTATTTTAATAATATATATATACACCTCATTATGATATTCGGTATTTCAATTTATTATTTCTAAATATCAAATACCGTACGAATACCAAAAAATATTAATGTATACCATATACCATACCAAATACCATAATACCAAAATCATGGTATTAAAAATTTCAATATGATATGATAATTCGGTATATACCATACCATGTCCACCCCTAATTAGCTACAAGCAAATAAGCTATGAATGCATAGCTAATTCCAATTTCTTTTTGTTGTAGTGAACTAGTCAGTTAAGCTGCATTATAAACTTAAAACTGCATCTTTGCATCTAAACAAAACATTTGAGTAGGATTTTTGAACTCAATCTACATGTTTTACTACATATATCTGTAGTTTTTTCAATTAGTTTTTGTGTGTTTGTAATTATATGTTGAACAACTTTCACATATAGCAAACACAAAATTCATATTTGTATGATATAACAATGTTTGCATAATTGCGCTCCATAGCAAACATGCTATGACTAGGCTATTTCGCTATACATATATACAAAAGAAGCAATTGTATAATTCGTTGGTTCCTCTTCAGATTTGTATAATTTCGCTGGCAGGCCATTTGTATAAATTGTTGTCAGCCTCTCGTTTGTATAAATCGTTGAGAGTTTGTCAATTTAATTTTATGTGTTTGTATATCTGTATAAAATTTGAATTTATATACAATTGAATCGAAATAAAACGTTTGTATATCAAATATCGTTCTCTCTCTCGCTTTATACAAACATAAATTAGACATTGTATTTTGTATAATCTGTGTTTGTATAAAGCGAGAAAGAGAGAAATGCAAAAGAGAACTGGACAGTGGAATATTTGTATTGTATAATTATAAGTGTATAAGACGAAGATATATGTATTTGCATGTGTATATACAATTTTCTCTCGCTTTATAGAAATAAAAACACAATTTATACATTTCTGTTTGTATAAAGCGAGAGAGGTGAGCGAGCGAGAGAGGGAGAGTGGCGAGCGAGAGTTTGAGGGAGAGAGGCGACTGACAAACAGTTTACTACAGGGCACAATTAAATCAAAGTGTGGTTATACCATTTAATTTGAATTAATAGTTTGTCATTATGTACAATTATCCCTTATATGTTTCTTGCATTACATATATACTTCTGTTTTTCTTTATTGCATCATTTATGCACAGGGACGGATCTACCAAGGTCCAAGGTATCACGTGACACTGCTTTATAAAAAAAAATTGCTAAATATTTATATATATTCGAAGATAGTAGAAAACAATTGAAAGATATATTATAAAGTGACAACTCTTGACCAAGGGAGGCCCAAAAAAGTAGTGAATTTATTATCTACACATATGATGACACAAATATAAATAAGAAATTGATATTCATTCACTCATTGATACAAGTTTATATAACATTAGGTTAATTCTCATGTTTACAAACATTTGATTCTTTTTCCTCTAATAAGGAGGAGTTACCAAAAAGAATACGAATGATAGATCCAACAACAACAACAAATTACAAAATAATGAATGAAGAACGTACATGCAGAAAGTTAATTGTGGTAATAGTACATCGACAATTGACAATGGTACTGGAGGTAGAGTATTGAGTAAAGCAGAAGATGGAAGGGGAGTTAGCTTAAGCTTGTGGGCCAAACACAGGTAGGAATGGCTTACTACTGGGAACTGGAGGAGGAGGAGGAGGAGAAACTGAAACCATGGATGGTGATGGTGGTGGAGGAGGAGGACTGAAAATTTTGGGTGGTGGAGGAGGAGGACTTGTTAAGATCTTGGGAGGAGGAGGAGGAGGACTCTTCGTGATCATGGGAGGAGGAGGACTGAAAACTTTGGGGGGTGGAGGAGGAGGACTCTTCGCGGTCTTGGGAGGAGGAGGACTGAAAACTTTGGGAGGTGGAGGAGGAGGACTCTTCGTGATCTTGGGAGGTGGAGGAGGAGGGCTCTTAATGATTTTGGGAGGAGGAGGAGGAGGACTCTTTGTGATTTTGGGAGGAGGAGATGGAGGAGGATTAAATGCTCTACAATTTTTTCTAATTTCACCTGATTTCCCCACAAGAACTTGAGTGTTACCTAACTTGATCAATGCATTCGCGAAAGCCTGTTGGAAGGCTTTTGGATTAGAAGCAAAATTCGTCACAATCCCAGCAGTTGATCTATCTGATTCAAGTAACTGATCAATCTTCAATATTCCTTTCTTCAATCTCAGTTGTTTGTAAAAAGAGTTATCAACAACAAATGAAGTGTTTTGATCCAAGAACACAGGCGAGCCACCATTAGCACTACACGTCTTTTTAAGACTACTAAACAATTTGGTATCCATGCTTCCATCCGCCGTCGATAGCCTATCCCCTTGAATAAAACTACAATGTGTAATTCCCACTGTGTGGCCACCTAAAAGCGACACCATTTCATTCACATTAAATCCTTTGCTTTGAAAAGTTTGAATTGCTTGTGGCACTGTTATACTAGGGCCTGGCAGGTTCACTTGTGATGGGTCTGATACTAGCCCATCGCGCCTGCCAGTGGGTATACTATAACCCAGTCCTCCAGCTAATGCAACTGCATCTCGAGTAGCTAATGCAATGATGTCCGCACAGGACACTGTATTAGGACATGTAGCTTCTAATTTACTCTTTATTTGATCAATCAACTCGTATCCTCTTACAGATCCATTTGCTCCTGCATCTTTTTCTGACTTTTTATTCTTCGTGTTTTTGGAGTCTATCAACAACGATGCATCACAACCCTGAAAATCATACCTCACATTATTATAACTTCAAAATTTTATCAAATAATAGGAAAAAAATATAGTAGTTTTTTCTCACCCTCACGAAGCAGTCATGAAAATACATTCGTAGCAATGCTGCTGTAATGGTACGATCCGAAGAAAACCGGCTTCGCACCGTATCTCGAACTATGGTTTCTGCTGCTGGACATCTAGCTTTAGTATTGTAGAAACCAACTTGAAGTTGAGCAGATACGATTGTTGCTAAGTGCAGAGTAATACAGAAGAAAAACAAAAATAATATCTTCTTGTCCATCTTAACAAAATAATATCAGATTTAAGGTTTGATAATGAGCAAAGAAGCCACAGCATTTATATATAGCTAGTACTTGATGTGATTCACTTTTCATTGTAGTCTGTGTAAAAAAAGAATGACATATTCATGTATTAAGTAACAATTTAACTTTAAAATGTCTATTTTATCCTTAATGAAATTATTTATAGTCACACAAATATCTATCAATTATTTTAGACCAGATAATTTCGAAAGTCTTTCTTTCTTAAACTATGTGTGAAATCAAACTAATTCATATAAAATGGAACGGAGGGAGTATTGTAATTTATTTGGAGGGTAAAGGGGAATGATGTGGTAGGCCACTAAGAGGTTTGAGGTTTGGAAGTCAAAGCTTAACTGGGATGCATGTCTTGTTATTAAATATAACTAATACTAGTTCTGACCTATGAAAAAGCACTAATGTGTAAAACATCTTCTCAGTAGCTAATACTAAGAAAAATAAAATACAATTTGAAAAATACTAGTTGAACTTATATCTATTTAATATGATCAGGGAATAACATTCATATGTTCCGAAGTCAGAACAATAAAAATTATTGACTAACATACACGAAAAACTGAGAAAATCTACATTTTAGTTTTTCTAATTAAAAAACATATTGCAAGAATTATTATAAGTTGAAACTAGAGATTATTTTCTTTTCTTCAAAAATCACACATTTTGTTTTAATTTATGTGGCATCTTTTGAATTTCGAAAGTTAAACTTTTAAATTTTGATCATGCATGAATTTGAATATATATATATATATATATATATATATATATAATAAAATCATTTTCGAAGTTATAGATCATCATAAAAGCAAATTTGATAAGTTTAATTCAAGCTCCAACGATAAAAAGTTTTGATCATATCAATATGTTTGACCTACTACTTGAGTGTTAACTAGGGTAATCATGATTCGGCCCTAACGATTGTATTTATTATCAATTTATTAATTACATTATTGTGTATAGTTAGAATTATACATTTTGAAGCTATTCCAATCATCTCAATTTGTTTTCGGTATCTGTACAGTTCAGTTATTTAAACAATCACCCAAAAAAATTGTCATGAAGTCAAATGTGAATATGTGAAATTATCCATAATATAAGTATAATAATAACAAATACTAAAAAATTATTCTAATTTTGTTTTAGCTAAAAAATATAATAATCTCAAACGCCCACCGTGGGGCTCGAACCCACGACCACAAGGTTAAGAGCCTTGCGCTCTACCAACTGAGCTAGACGGGCTAGATATTTTTCTAAATGGACAAACTGTTGTTTTTTAACTAGCAATAGGATTAAAGTATTTTATTTTATGAACATTAGCTAACTTTCTATTCACAATCCTTAAATATTTGTAAGCTTGATGATATAGTTCTCTAGCGAAAAGGTTGTAAAGTACAAACATGTTCCAAAACATGATTTATTTTTCTTTTAAGTTGATAATCCACTGAAAATAACTTTTTCACCCAAAAAAGATAGGAATAAAGTTTAGTTTGCATACATCAAGTACGATGTTGTCATAATTAATAAATGTAATGTATATGAGAAAAAACAACTATCTATGCAAATTCGTACCAAAATACATTTGTCAAGTCTTCAAAGAGTCAAATAGTGACATTTATGTAGGAATGAAGTATGCGTGTATATCGAATATGTTGTTGTCGTAATTAATAAATATAAGAAGAAAATATGTTCACACACTGAAAACTCATTTGTTAAGTCTTCAAAAAATGTAGTAGTGACATATATAAAGGTAGGTTTAAGATATGTGTACATCAGATAGAAAACCGGAAATTCATTGTCCAAAGATAGAAAACAACAATAACTTCATCTCAATCTCAAACTAGTAAAACACACAAGCAAGTAGAATACAAATGCTAGGCTTAATCACCAATAATAACTTGTTATACATGCATACACACCGAAAAAAACTAAAATGAATCATGAAGGCCAACATACAAGTCGATCCAACAGGCACTAAAGCGGAGTTTTACTTCTTCAAGACACTGCAATTGATGAGAGTAACCAGTTAGCTAGGATCTTTACACTGGTATAAACTATGAAAACAATCAATGGGGATGACAGTCTTGATTGTTGACATTATATGATGAAATGATGAAAAAAGGACAAGACATAATCTGGAAACTCACTTGTACAAATATGCTGCAATTCCAAGAATGATGCACAACAAAATGATGTCAATGCAAAAGTTGCGACTAGATCTCAGCTGGAAAACAACCAAAGCTCATGAGTAATCCTTGTGTGCAGATCACTTACTGCAACTGAAGAGAGCGGTAATTCAGTTTACCTGGTTAACTGTATGCTTAAGCCTAACGTTGGTATTCTTCAAGTCCGCGGTAGCTCTGTCCACCTATTGAGAAGTCAAACCATATCAATTTTAGCTATGATTCTTTCCATATCAACTATTACAAAAACCAATAAAGTTACCAACCTTTGCGTCAATCTCATCCATCAGAGGAACTTGTCTATCCAACTCCTGCATGCATTGCATCGTATCTTTAGTGCCTATGTCAATTGGGATGATACAAAATAGAAATCATAAATGCAGCAAACCTCGTTCATATCGCTGGCCATGTTCTTCAAAGTATCCAATCCTTCTGCTATGACATCCAAACCTTGGTCCTGTGCAACATGCCAAACTAAATCTTAAACATAGTCCAGGAAGCAGCAAAGAAGCGTAAACAGAAACCTAATTCAAAAAAATTCATGATAAACTACCCCAAAAAACACATGCCTGTCTCATTTTTCGCATTTCATACTCTTGCTTGAATTGACTTGACTCTTCAGTTTGTTGGAAATATTCATTGTCAAATTGTCCATCTGTAAACAAAGCACACTCTGTAAGTGAATACAATCAACTGTAGCCTACAAGAATGAATACTTTCAAGTCATAAATTGTGTTGTTAAAGGCCCATTTAGTCGCACTTAAACCCTGAAGCTAGGTGAAGCTCAGGTTAGGTGGCTCGCCTAGGTTAGCAAGCGCTTCAGCACGGTTATGAGCCTTATCAATCGTAATAGGCTCTATCTTGAAGAGGGTCGCACTGAACAATAAATATAACTGAAAAAGCTAGACCAATTGTTAAAGAAATGTTATGAGTGAATATGTTACTTTGAAGAAAACCACTACTAAGAATATAGGAACTAACAACAGACAAATTCTGTAGCTAAACAACAAAGTCCGTCGGAAAACCTATTTAGCGACGGATTAGAAATGGATTATCCCAAAGTTCTGTTAGCTACGAGAATATCTGTGATGGATTCGTAGCTAATTCAATTTTTTTTTGTTGTAGTGAACTAGTCAGTTAAGCTGCATAAGAAACTTAAAACTGCATCTTTGCATCTAAACAAAATATTAAGTTGGATTTTACCTACATGTCTTTACTACATATAATTTTAGTTTTTTCAATTAATTTTTGTGTGTTTGTAATTGTATGTTTCTTGCATTACATATATACTTCTATTTTTTCTTCATTGCGTCTTTTCTTTCAGAAGTTCGTGCTTTAATTGTGGTCACTTAGAGCCCCAGCAGACCTTGGGCACTTTTTGTCGTTGACGACACTAAATACACATGCAGAGAACAACTTACAGGAAGACCAGTCAAATGGCAGAAATTATCAATCACCTGAATCAAATTTAATTTCCGTGCGAGAACCTGAAGCCCTCCATCCTCCAGTTTGTTTGGGTGGAGCTGCAGAGCCATCTGGTATGGCATTTATTCTATCTGGCAGTGCAAGAACCAAATCATTACGGGCAGCAAGTTCTTCACCCGAAAGACCTTTGACCTGAAATTGAGGGTTTTTAGTACCAAGGCAACTATTTAGTCCCACAGATTACCATATAAACCCAGATTCACTCTTTTGGTAGGGAGGCCCAAGGGAGAGCACAAAAAGGGTAGCGAACACTGCAAGAGATATCAGTTATCAAGTATGAAGTAACTGAAAAGAAGATGAACAGAGTTCGAAGTATCAAATACCAAAGAATTCTAAGCTATACATTAGTTTCTCCTTGCCATTGAGTCCTTGTTTACTCTATAAATGAAGCAAGCTGCTAACGCCAGTTTTGCAGATCAAGGTTAATAACTCAGACATGCCTGTCAAAACTGAGGCAGATACCCACTTGTAATGATACAATACGAAGCACAGACTCATAAAGAGAAATGCTCTAGCATTAATAAGTAGAGGTAGAATAACACAAGTTCACCTATTGGTCCTTATTTGCCCTACAAGGGAAATATGCTGCAATGACTTGGTTAAGAAACGTGTATGAGGCTAGACACTAGAGCATCAAGATCCACAACCTCATTTGGTAATGTCTACCCCAACCATCTCTAGATGAGTCTCAAATTTTTCTCATCAAATACTCGAATACAATCAGAAGCTTCTTGGTTTGTTTTGGGAGGGGGTGCATTCTCACTTCTATCTATCTAATTATTTTTGGATATACACATGGAGGCTCTCAAACTATTAATCCCTCAATCTGATGGAATACCATTGATTCAAAACCTCTGAATCCAGTGGTTTGGCACTTTATCACACACACTCCCATACTCAAGTCACTTTGCTCAATATCTTCCTAATTATCTTTAGTTAACTTTTATGTAGATGGACATGAAATCAGAAAACAATTGATGATAAGTAAAAATACAAAATCCCCTGAACGCTATATAATGTATGTGCAAATATTTATGTTGCTTCAATCTAACCAAGGAAAAGAAAAAAAAATGATTGAAAGGACCATATTTGTTTTCTTTCGTAATAGGATTGAGCAATATTAGAGTTTTCTCAGTCTCTTTTAGGCAACTGAGTTTGTGCTCTACTTCCATTCTTGTCTCAGCCCTCTTCATCTCACTCTCCCACTCCTTTAAACTCTAGTTCCCACTTCCCATTAGCTTGACCGTTGACGGCCTTCTCTCAGATTGTTCTTGGAATTTCAAGCAAATGCCGAGTCA